ATATACAATATACATCATACATGTATATATAGTTATTAGGAACAAAAAATGTTAAAACTTAAAAAAAAATTGTTTATTAAAAAAAACTGAATTATATAATATTTAATACTATATATATGGCTCGCGGCCCAGTACYATGCTGCTCATGGGCCATGGCGCACCAGTGGGCCGCGGCCCATGGGTTGGGAACCGCTGCGTTAAACCATTAACTTTAATATTTACCCCAAAAGTCTAACGATGGCGTACGATTTACTGTGCAACGTTGCCAAATTTATGTTTTTATTTTTGATCAGTAAAATTTAAATTTTGGAAAAATGACTTAGGTTACGGTACCACTTAAAAATCTCAATTTTTGACAAAATACATATATGTTAGAATAATATTGTACGAGTATACAAAATAAAATAATTAAAAATAATTAAATGTTAAAATAATATAATAAAAAAAAAAATTATGGAAGAAACCCCTGTTCTATAAGTTCAAAGCAAATGGCAACAGTGCTTCAAAGCTGCAGATAAAAATCGTACGCAATCGTGTTTTACCGATTTCATTTACCAGTTTATAATTTTTGGATACCCGTGGATTTAAAATCAAGTTTAAACTTCACCACGTTAACTATATTGTGAACCATAGACAAGTATACCTACTATGCGAACTTTTGACGAAATTGGTTGTAAGTATGATACTGTACTGTCTATACTATGAATCATAGTCTATGATAGGTTGGTAGGTATAGCATAGGGATTGTATCGRTACCATAATAGGTATTTATGAAATATGTTTGTTATTGCAATAATCTATAGAACAAAATAAGCTTTTACATATTATTATTTGACACGAAAATAGGGTGTCATTTGTTGATGAATGGGCGTAAAAGTGTTTGACGTTTTCATCGGGGCCGGGGGACTCGATAGCAGTGGACATGATAATTATTATTGCATAGAACCACGTACAGATCAGGCTGATTTAATCAGCCGTCGAGCGGTGGGCATAATATTATATTTTTTTATTTTATTTAATACAGTTCAAAACGATTCGGTCGACACCGTTTGTCCTCGGTCGCCGCCGCCGACGGTCTCTCCAATCGAGACGGGTTCCTGTATGTCTACGAGCATACCTTGGCCGTTTCGGCCCCGCACTGACTGCACCAACATCGCAGTCGACGGGCGTTGGCGGGCGACGGTCTTAGGCCTTAGCTTAGGTATTTGATCGTTTTGATGTTTACATTATATACAGCACACAAGTACACAACAGCCGTCGTCGCCGCTGCAGTCACCGACACCACCCACTTCCCCCACCCGGTTGTCCGGATGAGATCATCGTGACGGTGTGTGAAAAGAGAAGTGAAAGGGAAAATCGTATTATTAATACTATTATTATCATCATCATCATCATTATTCAACTATATAGCATATATCTATAATAATAATAATATAACGATATTGGTCCATTGCTGTAGTTGTACAGACACTGTATAGGCGCATCGTTTCATTATCAATATTATTATTATTATTATTATTATTATTATTGTTAATGCCGTGTAGGTAATAACTTATTATTCCGCTGTCGATTCAACAGTTGTGTTCGGACGCAGAGTAAACGAAATCATCAAACACCGGTGTCCGACGTTCACAAAACAATATTGAATAATTATTTTATCGTTTCGAATTATTTCGTCCGGTGAGTACCTCCATCGTACTATCCGCCTACTTTTGCCAGGACTCTGGGCCGATATTAATAATGTGATCTTTATAGTCTGACACGTTTTACGTACCTATTTATATATTTTAAGTGTAATTTATGATMTATTTTGATTTAATAACGTTTTCGTCCACTGTACAGGTACTATACGCAGTGCCTTCTCGAAGACGAGAAAATCAAATCCATCAAATTTTGTCGTGTTATAGTAGTGATAGTGCATGCCCAACATACATCTACGATCTACCTACTGCAGCAACGATTATCATATTATCATCTTAAACGGGTGCCACTGTGCTATTTTGTCTTATTTTTGGTGAAAGTTAAAAGATGAACAAAAAGTGTGCCAGATGCGAGAAAATTGTTTATCCCATTGAAGAGCTCAAATGCCTCGATAAGGTACACCATTGCTCCTCCATACTTTACAACTCACTTCTTTCATTTCTTCTAGAAACTCTCGTACACATTTAAGCATGCAAACATACCTAGGTAAATCTAAATTTTAATTTTCTTTTTTTTACATTATTAATAGGCTTGGCACAAACAATGTTTCAAATGCCAGTCCTGTGGTATGACATTAAACATGAGAAATTACAAGGGATTCAATAAAGAGCCTTACTGTGAAGCGTGAGTACTTTTTATGTTTTTTTWAATTTATCATAGACCCATCTGGCATCTTATTTATAGACTGCTAATGGAAATAGAACTTTTGATGTGACAATAATATATTG